TAGCTTTATGTAGTATATATTATTATAATTTCTAATTATTGCTTAAAATATAACAAAAGACGCGTATATCGGAGATACGGGCGACCGTTGTAGTTACTTTGGTGGACGCGCCTATCGAAAGGTTAATATAGAACTGACATTAGTCTTCTTCTTCTTAACATGCCATACACCAAAGTGCGTAGGCGACTATCTCATTACTAGAATTCTGTTCTTGGCGGCGTGACACAGCTCACCTGTATTGTGTATTCCTGTCCATTCTTTAATATTCCTTAACCAGGATAATTGTTTGAGGCCGGCTCCTCTCCTACCTTCGATCTTCCCTTGTAGGATTAACTGTGGTATTTCATATTTTGCTCCTTTTAATATGTGCCCAAGGTAACCAATCTTGCGTTTTTTAATTAATTCAAAGAGTTCTCTTTCCAAGCCGGCTCTATTAAGGACGTCATCGTTTCGAACTTTATCCACCCAAGGTATGCGCATCATTCTTCTCAATGACCACATTTCAAATGCTTCAAGTTTGTTGATAGATGTTTTTTTCAAAGTCCACGTTTCCATACCATAAAGCAAGATGGACCATATGTAGCACTTGACCATTCTGTAGCGTATTTCGAAGTTTAGGTGTTGATTACATAGGAGCGGTCTGAATTTCACAAAAGCTTGTCTTGCCATTTGTATTCGGGTTTTTATCTCGTGTTGTGGATCCGATTGGTCATTGATTGTGGTGCCAAGGTATTTAAAAGTTTTCACGCGATTTATACGATTGTCACCTATGCATATTATCGGGTTTTCTGGAGGGTTTCTGCTAATGACCATATATTTCGTTTTCAAAATGTTGATTTTGAGGCCATATTTTTTACCTATGCTATTCACCCTATCAAGTAATAACTGCTGATCTTCCAAATTATCAGTTATAATCACTGTGTCGTCCGCATAGCGTAGGTTGCTAATTGGTATGCCGTTCACCTTAATGCCTAATTCCGTATCTTCTAATGCTTCCGCAAATATATTTTCAACATATAAATTAAAAAGCATCGGAGAGAGTATGCAGCCTTGGCGGACACCTTTCCGGATTTCAAATTCATCCGTATATTGGTCTCGATCAATCCTCACCTTTGCCATTTGGTTCCAGTATAGATTCTGAATAATTCTGATCTCCTTCTGGTCAATGTTGGCCCTATGTAGTAGTTTCATCATGATATCATGTTTAACATTATCAAATGCCTTCTCGTAGTCGATGAAGGTGAGGTAGACATCTTTTCGTTGATCTAAGCAGTTTTGTATTAAGGTGTTCAAACATAAAATTGCCTCTCTTGTTCCTAGTCCTCCCTTAAAACCGAATTGTGTTGACCCGCTAAGTTCTTCTAGTATCTTGTACATTCTTGAGTGTAATATCCTAAGGAAGAGTTTCAACAAGTGACTCATTAAACTGATTAAGCGGTGTTCATTGCATTTTGTGGCATTAGCTGTTTTTGGGATCATCACAAAGGATGACTGCAGCCATTCTCGCGGAATGTAACCAGTATCTCGCGCCAGCATTATTGATGGCCCTGATAAGTTTTCGGAAGGAAGTTTGCGCGTTGGTTGTGTTGGTCTTTCGTCATTAAAAAGGCTTTCTGCGTATTCTTTCCACGCCATTGCTATCTCCTCTTCTGACTCTATGTATTCGTTTCTGTCGTTGCGTATTCTTGTTCTGTGGTGGCTTTTGTGTATATTCGATATTTCTTTGATCTTCTTATGTAGTCCAAAACTATCTCCTTTTTCCTGCAATTGTTCTATTTCGTTGCACCTTTCCACCATCCAACGTTCTTTTGCTTTCTTAATTTTCTGACGGATTTCTTTGTGTATCTGTTTGTATTTGTCTTGATTACGTTGTTGTTTATGTTGCCTTCGCTTTTCCATTAGATCCATAATTTCGTCCGTCATCCATTCGTTATGCTTTCTCTTTCTGATCTGTGTTTTAACTTCCCTGTTTACTGCCAGAATCGTTCCTTTAATATCATTGACCATCTCTTCGATATCACCATTTTGTTCTATTATTACTGACATTAGTAGCTTGAGTCAAATTTATCACTCTTTAATCTTGCAGAATTAAATAATATTTTTGAATTATGCTACACTTTTAATCAACTCACTTATTAATTAACCTTTAAATTGTTTGCTGGAGTGTTGTTGCCAATATTAAATTAAATTTTTCAGTTACCAATGCATCAACTTTACTAAATATTGCTACCAAAAGTTTAATATAAAATTTAATAATGTCTATTATTAAATAATATCAGTGCTATTAGGAATTCTGTTTTTCCTCCATGTTGGAAAGATTTTCTGTTTTTTTACACTAAAGTTTTTATAACGCTGTTTATTACAATATTCTATATTTTTACAAATCTAACTTAATTTTGTTTTTTACATAAAACTGAATGTTTTCTAGTGTAATCTGTATAGTTAATAAGTTAAGCTATTTCTTTGCTTCCATCTTAATAGGAAGGTTTTTGCGGTTAGTACAATTAAACCAAAAGCTAAGATTAATACTATTCCAGGAATTAATATTAAACTTCACTTCACATTATTGCGCTGAGCTTTCGAGATCCTCTTTGATGTCTTCTTTAGGGCTTCTGAGGTCTCAGTCTCCCGAGCCTCCAGACACTACTACACTAATCAATAATCAATGCATTACTGGTGCTGGGAATAGAGGACGGGTCATTTATACCGTAGTTGGTGACGTGGCTTAAGTGGAGGTTGGCGTAAGGGCCAGCGTAGATATTGGTGCTGAGATTGGCGCGAGGATTGGCCTTAATGTGCCAATTTAAATTTTAAATTTCTGTTGGCTTTTTTTAAATTTATATGGCTTTCAAGATAATTCTTGGTTTATAAAACCGGATGGGGGCTATGATTCTAGAATTTTTAAAGTCAATTTTGTGACCTATGTGAAGATGATGTACACCTAGAGCTGAAACTAAGTCGTAATTGTGAACAGAAATGGTAATGTTCATAAATCCTACTTTAAATTTTACGATTCGTTTGGCCTATATAGGATCGGGGACAGTTTGCACAAGAAATTTTATAAACTCCGTGTTCTTGATTTAGAATGAGCTCTTTCATTAATCGGATAAGGGATGAAAGTTATTGTTGAGGGATAAATATTGTCTGTATTCCTTTCGATTTTAGAATTTTGTTGATTTTGTCAGTGACACCTTTGACGTAAGGGAGAAAAGAAAGAAAATACAGTGTCCAGCAAGACCACTTATCTCTTATTAAACATTGTTCAATGTTCAACATTAAACATGTTCAACACTTATTTTATTTTCCAAAATCAATTCTGCAGACAAATAAATGGTGCCCAATGGGATCCCCACTATGTTTCCACTATCTAACAATTCAGTTGCTACACAAGTCCTCGAAAACACTTTATCTCAGGACTAGCAAACTCCAGTAGAGTCTTACGTTGCCATGTTATCTATACCTGTTGCAACTTAAATATCCTAGTATATAAAATCATATAATGTAAAAGTTCAATTTAACAATATTTAAAGGGTTATATAAGGTTAAATGCTCGAATAAATGATTTTTAATCTAGCAAAAGGCAGATATCGAGCACAAATGTTTTATTAAGTATTGCCCAAGTACTTTTGCTCCTAGAGCATCTTCAGGGGCATCTGAAATAAGACAAGAAACGGTTTTCAACTGAAGAAAAATTAATTAATTTCGAAAAAACTCGAAGTTGATAATTGATTTGTTTTAACAAACAGGTGTTTCATACTAACACCTATGTGGTATTTATATACTGCTATCTGGTCACAAATGACCAATTATCAGTTATTTTCTGAACTAACTTAATAAACAGCAAATATTTAATCATATTAATAATAATAATATAATAATAATTAATAATAGTTTCATCCGCGAATGTGGCAATAATGTTTTGTTCTAGCTCTGGAATGTCATACGTATACAATAGGTATAGTATCGGACCTAAGATACTCTCTTGTGGCACGCCAGCTTTGATCTTCCTTAAGTCGGTGTACACTTCTTCTTGTTTTACTCTGAAATATCTATTCGCAATGTATGATTCTAAGATTTCTAAATACTGTTTAGGTATGACCGTTCTTAGCTTATAGTTTAAACCCTCTTGCCAGACTTTATCAAATACCTGTGCTACGTCCAAGAAGATTATATAGCAGACTTTCTTTTGTTATATTTGTTATTCTATGAACTTGATTTATGGTGAAATGTTGATTTCTGAAACCAAACTGATGATTTGGTATAATATTTTTTCTTTCTGTTATTGGTTTTAACCGTGTCAATAGAAGTTTTCAAATAGTTTTGACATCACCGGAAGGAGTATTATTGGTAGATAGGATGTCACTCCATTAGGAGTTTTACCTGGTTTGACGATCATAATGACTTTGGCTACTTTCCTGAGTCTGGGAATATATCTTAATTTAAAAGTAGCATTTATTAGGTGTGTCAGCTTAACTGTGGTTTTTCTTGGTAGATTTTTTAATAGTTCTTCTGTTATGAGATCATATCCTAGAGCTTTCTTAGGATTTGTATTACCTTTTATCTCCGTAGCTTATAATTGTACCTTTAATATTGTTAACAAATAAATAAAGATTATGTTTCCTTAATATGGTGCATTAATTGATTCGTCTTGTCGAATATCATTTGAGGAAAAAATTATTTACCGGCAAAATTTTCGTCAGGTTTTATTTAAGTTTTTTGCCTTTTGACGTCTCGTGATTTACCTGTCAAATTTTATTTCGCAAAAATTTCCAGGCAACGAACTTTCATACCAGTCGAAAATATTGCCAACAAAATTATCTCTCTTAATTATATACGAAAGTATTTGCTACATTTCAGAAAAATAAAAAATGTACTTACTTATTTATAATAGAAGGTAATCGTTTCTAATGTTATTATCTATGATATGTTTTTTTAATATATGCTTCAATATTTTTTAATATTTCCGTATTTTCAAAAATATTTATTTCTACTTATTTTAGTATAACTGGTGCTATGGGAATATGTTTTCCGTATTTGGGGGAATTTCAACCAAACAAGTATAGGGAGACAATATTATGTTGGATGGAATTATTTTGGACACTTGGGGTAATCGCACTGCCAGGTAAGAAAATTTAATTTTTTTTAAGTCAATTATAAGTTTATTATTTAAAATTCATATAATCTATGGTATAAATATTTTTATGTTTTAGGAATTGCTTGGATGATAATTCCTTTGGAATTTGAATACATAACAGATAGTTTTAAATTTAGGAGTTGGAATCTGTTTGTTGCAACTTGTTCTATTCCAAGTATTTTAATTGGATTGTGGCTTATTATGTTTCCAGAAAGTCCAAAATTTCTTTTAGAATGTGGAGAAGCAGATGAAGCTCTCGACGTATTACGAGATATGTACGCTAGTAATACTGGCGACGATGGTGTCAATTTTCCTGTAAGTTAGTAAATTGTATTCATATAGTTGTGTGGCTGATTCCAGTCGCAACTCTCTAGTAAATTTAGTAATTATTTTTTGTTACGTTGGTCAAATTTTGACTGATTGGATATTATTTATATAATTACTATATAATTGCTATACACATAAGCCTACATGTTGGATTAGGTAATCTTTTACCCAATACATGTAAAGTTATTCGTGTTTTGTTCGAGGTAATGAACAAAATAGGGATATGACGTTGCTTTCATTAATATTGGATATCTGTATTTTATTTATATGACGATGCACATTAATTAGAACGATAGATGTTTTAACGTAATGATTATCTCATATTTTCCATCTTTTTTCTTATTTCTGTAATAAAGGGGAAGAAAGTATTACATATATTTAAGGTTCAATTAGACTTTTCTCGTTTGGCGGTAGCTTCCAAACATTCTCACTTAGGTGTGCACGTAATGCTACCTTAGGTTACGGATAAGGGTTTTTTTATCTAGGGTTAGGATTAATATTTTTAATATAATGGTCCATGCTCTATATACTCTAGTAAATTCTCTAACCTGTCCGCGTTACCTCGTTACCTTTAATCCCCTGATATCCTGGTACTCATTCTATTGTGATTGAACCCCTTATTATTAGCTTCTACCAATAAATTTTATGTCATTATAGTTACATAATTCATTTAATCCCATTAGAGACTAGAAATTTTGGATAAATAAAACACTTTTGAGTCCACAAAGATAACTACTTTCATGATTTCCTTCTTAATACATACACAAATGACTTTATATACAGCTATCATTTCATATGTACATATGTATGTATAATTATAGAGTCTTCATAAAAATTTATAATTAATGCGTGTTCTTTTTTAAACAATGGTGATATATAAATTCCAAATCTGAATTAATTTGTTTGTGGATCAATAAATCCATCTGTATATATTTTCGGATATCTCAGATGCTATTTCTGCTACTAATTCGTTTAAATTTACTCCAGTGTGTCCTTTAACCTAGAGTAAAGTTACTGTTTTTTATGGTGAATTTAAGTTTATGTAATAATTTTTTGATATCAAGAATAATGGAGTTTTTAAGACTTTCTAATTGATGGCCAATATCTTGTAATACTGCCTGAGAATCTGATACTATTACGATGTTCTCACTATAATTAGTAACATACCAAGTTAATGATTTTTGTATGGCAGCAGCCTCGGCTGTATAAATAGAAGAATATTCTCAAAATAATTATTATTTCAAACAAAGAATGCGAAACCAGCACTTTCATCAATTTTTGATCAATCTGTATAAATAATAATTGTAAAATCGTCCACTTAAGTGCTTAGTATGGATTTAAAAATCAGATTAAATAAAATTGGCAGGTCTAAATAAAGGGACAATATAATTGTTGGTTTTTCTAACAGGACTTCAAGGTCTTGTTCATAAAGATGAAATTTTGGTAGCTAAAATATATAATACTAATATGAATTTGTTTCAATAAAATAATCTGCAACAGGAGAAGAATTTTTTATTCTCCTCCTGTCTTGAATTCTGTCAAGTGTTTAAAGATTTTTTTTGTATGTTCAATCATAACGAATACAACCATAATCCAGAATCGATCGTATGTAGGATCTATGAAATATTAAAGATATATGTTGATCTGCACCCTATCTTTTTTTTTTGAAACGAAACACAGAAGGTTAATTTCACGCTCGCACTTTTGTTTTACAATCTTTGTATAGCTGTACCATAAGAAGTTTTATCTAGAGTCATGCCTAGATACTTATACCTTTCTGCTAAAGTTAAAATATAATCACCTATCTGCCATTTGCTGTAATTTTTTATCTACGTCTGATGAAATATATCAGTGAATATTTTTTTTATGATTTACCCATTTTTTTACCCATTTTTCTGTTTTTAAATGTAGACTAAACAACCTAAATAAGGACACGTATTTAAATAGCACGTGTACCATTCGGCAAACTTAAAAAGTTTCTTTGTTGTCGGGATATAAGGTTAGGACTACGCCTAAGTAGCTAAACTTGGAGCTAATTTACTGCTAAATGAAGCTAAAACAATATTAACTATCAAAAGAAAAAAACTTTAGTACTTAGGTCATGCCATGAGAGGGCAAAGATATAAATTACTGCAGTTTATTATGCAAGGCAAAACTCGAGGAAAGCGAAATGTGGGAAGACGAAGAATATCATGGCTAAAGAACTTAAGGGATGATTTTAATACAGTAGTGCAAAATTATTAAATGCGTCAGTCAACATGATCCGCATAGCCTGATAATTTCCAACCTCCGATAAAAGATGGAACTTAGCGAAGAAGATCTATGTTACTAAAGCTTAAGTTTTAGATTCAACATACAATCTTCACAGAATTTATGGCTGGTATATCAACATATATCGTCTGCATATTGAATTATTTTGCATTTGCCATTAACCAAACCATGCAGATCTTTAGTATGAATATTAAATATTAAGGGTTTAGAATTGAGCATTCTGAGAGACCGTTATAATATAACATTCTTCGACTGTAATACATTTCTATGGTCCTGTAAGTTTATTTTTCTGTTCACATACAAATTTATTATATTGACAGATAATCTTTTATCAATATTACATGCAACCATTTTTAAATATATTATATCCAAATTAACCATGTTATATGCATCCAATCTAGAAACAAACATGGCATAAATTCATTTTTTAAAAAACAGAGTTGAATATCCTGAACTTAATGTATGAGAGCAACAATGGTACCTTCCTTGACCTCTACGAAATCCATACTGTGAGTAGGGAACAACTGATCTACTTTCAATGAGATGTTCTAATCTAAATTTTATTAGCCTTTTAAAGGATTTTGTGACACACATGATAATAAAAGATGGGTCTATAAGATGATGAAAGTTATGGGTTTAGGTTGATTTTGAGTGACGGAGTTCGGATTTGAATCCGAAAACCTTAAAAAACTAAGTTAAGGTTAAGACTTTGAAATGGCTGCACAAGGGACAAAAAAACTAGTGCTTCCAGTTAACATCGGAGGGTCAAAATTCCACACCAACTGATATATGCAAAAACCCTCGAGATTGTAGCAGATCTATTTATTCTTCATAAGCCAAACAAAAACATTACTAAAAATAAAGGCTGGATAACCGATATAAATGGTACATACATAACGAATAAGAAAGTGTGTATAACTAAGATTGTCAAAAAAGAGAAACACGTATTAGTCAAAATAGGAAGCATGGCCATCACTGTCTGCTATATCTCACCTAGCATCAACCTGATGCGTTACAAATAACAGGTCGAGCATATCATAATGACGTCCCAAACATATCGGGACTTCATACTTGCGAACAACGTGAATGCCAAATAAATCATATGGGGATCATTCAGAAATAACCATAGAGGTAAGATAAGGAATGATTAAATATTTGAAGATGACATAGTACTACTAAACAATGGAAAACCCACATTTGTTAAAGGTGAGAGTCAAAGTCACATAGATATTACCCTTGTGAATAAAAGTCATGCCAGGAAGATTGTGAGCTGGGATGTATTGGATCTTGACACTTTTTACGTCTTTGAAACTGGTATCAAGATCTCAAAGATCGGTCGCAAAAAAGTAACCTTAAATATAGAAGCTTATACGAGGGAGATAAGTAACCTTCAAGAAGACAAGACTACCAAATTCCAATATTTCAGACAAAAAATTATCAATGCATACACATTAAGTAGTTCCACCGAGAGCGTCACATATACAGTACCATACTACGGGAATGACGAGATCGAGACCAAGAGAGCCGAATGTTTTAGACTCAGGCGAATAGTACAAAGGTATATGCTCTCAATACAATGAAAATTATAAGCGAGCTAAAAAGTAACTAGGTAGAGAAATTAAACGGGCGAAGCACGCTTACAGACAGAACTTATGCATAGCACTAGAAGATGATGTATGAGGCGAAGCCTATAGAAGTACCACAAAAAAATTAACACAAAAGACCCCATACAACCTGTTTTAGGTACAAAATCTTTTGTAAGTACATGCTCTAGTTGTGAATACCAGTATAAACTATTTTTGATTTAAAGTGATATAAGACTGAATGCTCGAATAAATGAATTCTAATCAATAAAAGCTAGATATCGAGCACGATTTTTATTATTAAATCTTGCCCAAGTACTCTCACTTCTAGAGCATCTTCAGGCGCATTTGAAATAAGCCAAAAAACGTTTTATCAACTAAAGAAAAATTAAATAACTTTGTAAAAACTTAAAGTTGATGGTTAATAAAATTTTAAAGAATAAAATAGTAATAATTATCAAAATAATAAATTCTTCATGGGTGTAATCAAAGCAGAAAGTCTAAACAATCGAGCTATGTCCCCTACAAGGTGAAGCTGTAATAAAGTTTTTAAAAATGGGTTTCAATTTAATACAATTTAAATTAATTTGAGCATTAAGACAGTGAGAGTTTTCATTTGTTTCCCTTCTAATTTCCAAATTCTCCAATAAATCCAACTCCAAGCAGTTTTTCTTTCTACTAATGTCATGTAAAATAGATGAACCAGTATTGACGTTAAAATTATGTTCAGTGTAACAATAAATTAAAAAAATTAAATTTCTTCTTAATTTGTTCTCAGGTTTTAAGTTTACGAGAAAAAATGCGAACTATGAGTGTCATTTCTCAACAATCTACTAGAAGTATTCGCAGCCTAAGAATTAGAAAGCCTAAGGAGTTAAAATTATTGTTGAGAGAAATTTGGGAACAGACCAAAGCATTATGTAAGCCGCCACATTTAAGATATACTGTAATTACCTGTTTGATTCAATTTGGACTAACGACAAGGTAATGTAATCATTTTTTTTTCTGGTAGTTTTTCTTTCTCTAAAAGATGAAGGTTTTTTTAAGATTATTCTCTCTTTTTTCTACTTTTTTTTTTAATATTAATATAGTTG